TGTATTTCCTTGGTTCTTTATCCATTCGGCTGAATTATCTTAATTAAATTAAAGTGTCACCTTAAAAATAAAATCCTAATTGGGATATAGTGAATGAGTTTAGACTTGCCCCCCACCCCCTTTTTTCCAACAGTGTGTATGTTAGACCAACAGCTAAACCGAGCCCTGTGCCAGGCCTCATCTTCTCGCAGGAAGCAGCTGTCAGATATGAATTGCTCGCCTGGTTCTTAGCAGCCCAGTGCTTAAGCTACTGCACCACCAGAAGTCTTGCGTGTTAAGAGATCAAGGAAAACCTCTTGGTTAAGCCATGCGATCACCATTCATAGCAGGAGAATTATGTGATGTGGAGCTCTCTACAAATGGTCCTAGTGAAGCCTTTTGAATAAGATGACAGTGAGTTCTTATTTTGCTCCCGTGACTGTTTTCAGAAGAATAGAGGTTGTCTCAGAATGGGTTATTTCTGCAGGCTGCCTATAAACCTAGGGGATTCGGGTTAAGCTTAATAAGTGATAACAGGTTAAGAAGAGGGATATTTGTGCTGTCATATCAGGTGGTTCTATTGTCTTCATTAATGATTCATAAGGATTTACTATGATAGTTTCAGCTATGCTAAATTTTTCATTTTATTTATTTTTTTGAATTATTTTAATTTATTTCCCTATTTTCATAACCCTTTTGTCAGTGCTGGGCAAGATGAGAAGAAACAGCTATGAACACACAGACACAGAGTTCGTGCTCAGCTCACACTCACAGCTGAGTCCATTTGGACTCATAAGGACCTTTCAGGAGGTGGGCACAGGAGGTCTCAAGGGTTACAGCTAAGAAAATATTTCTTAAGGTGCTGCGTTTAGAGTTTAAGCAGACATTTCCTTGCTCTGGAGAATGGTAATGCCATGAAAAGTTAAGAAAGGCATTAACGGACTCGTCCTAGTTTGCATGGAAGGGAGCCTGGCGGCACAGTAGTTACTTGCACCAGTGCTGACCCAGAGGTGGGCTGTCCAACCCATCAGCGGCTCCGAGCAACAAACACCTGGTTCCCATAACCTCGCTCCCAGCAAAGACTGTGGGGCAGTTCTGGTTACAGGGTCGCTAACAGTAGGAGTCATCTGGATGGCACACACAATAAGCAACAATATCTATGGTAGCCAGTTGTCCTGCAAAGAGGCTTGATCATGACGATCTCATGTGTGTCAGGGTACAACTGTGTTCCAGAGAGTTTGTGAGGGTCATCTTCCGGCAGGTTGCTGGGTTTTCCTTCTGAGGCCCCCTAAGCCTTGTACCGCCCAGGGACTCCGTGTTTATAGTGAATGGAGACTCCTCACTGTCAAGCAGTCAATGCCAACGGAGAGTGACTCGATAGGACAGAGTAGAAGGACTCTGTAGGGCTTCCGAAGCTGTAAATCCCAAGGGAGGAGAAAGTGTCATCTTTCTCCCAAGAAGGAGCCGCGGGGATGCGCTTTTCCACAAGTTATAGGAGAACTTTATTGTATTAAAAAAGGAAAAGCTAGATGGTGGAATCTTAACTGAGGTTTCTCTGTTCCTGGAGTTTGCTATGCCTGTTGTGTTCCTAGCCCCCAGAGAAGTGTGTAGTTTGAGGTTGATTTGGCGATGGAAAGAAAGAAAGAAAGACAAAGGTAGAAAATGGTTTCAGACATTTATTTCGGAGCTTCTGAGTAGGGAAGGGAGAGCAGGGAAAGGGACAGGAGCATCCTGAAGCCCCATGAAGTCACACGGTCCAGGGGAGAGGTGGAGAATTTTATAGCCTGGGTTTGGGGGGAGAGAGTAGCTGGGGAATTTCCCACTGCAACTTTGTTGTCTACAGGTTCAGAGCTAAGCAAGAGTGTTCAAAATTATCTGTAATGGTTATTCTTCTGCACCTTGGCATGAAGCCCACCGAAGGGGAGAAAGGGGTGGGGGAAATGGGGTCTGGCCTTTTGTAGCATCCTGGACAGTTCTTGTGTGTGCTGCTGGACAAATCTGTGAAAACACAGAGCTAAGACAAAAAATAAAGAGATAAGCATTAGTGGCCCTAATATGGGTAACAACCATGTGGCCAAGGGGGGTTGCAGCCAGCCAAACAGGAAGTAGTTCATTCTTCAATGACTGCAGAGGTCCTCACTCAGGTGGGTCAGGTTTCTATGTCCCGCTCACCAGCCCAGATTCATTGATGTAATATCAGCACTCTTCCCTGAGGAAGAGGCAGGCACTCCCTTTTTTCAGCAGTGGGAAGATCTAAGGCACGTCTATTTTGTAGGGCAACTTGGGCCAGAGAGGTGTGGTCGACTCCAAAGCAGTCAGTAATCGGTCTTCGAAACCTTGTGCTGAGATGATGGAGTGTGCCTCCAACCATTCCAGATGCTCGATTGAGGAGCCTAGGCTTCTACCTACCGTTATAGGAAGGAGTATCATTCTCTTTGATCTTCGGACAGAGAGTAACCATGCTAACTCAGACTGACCATACAGGAACCCTGGTGACTGGAAAACAAGGTCCTGCTGTGGATGAACTTACACATTTAGTTAGAGTTCCATTGCATCAGCTGGATGAACAATCTGGAGGAGAAAACAATGGGACCGGCGGGTCTGCGGGGACATGGGAGAGAGGGAAGTAGAGGGAAAGGGAGTGGTGTTAACAAACCCAGGGACAAGGGAACAGCAAGTGATCCAAATCAGTGCTGAGGAGGGTATAGGAGGCCTGGTAGGGTGTGACAAAGGGTAACTGAGAGGAATTACTGAAACCCTAATGAAGGCTGAGCATGATAGTGGGATAAGAGGAAAGTCAAAGGAAATAGAGGAAAGAGCAAGGCGGCAAAGGGCATTTATAGAGGTCTAAATAAAGGCATGTACACATGTAAATATATATGAGGATGGGGAAATAGATCTATGTACTTATATTTATAGGTTTAGTATTAAGGTAGCAAATGGACATTGGGCCTCCACTCAAGTACTCCCTCAGTGCAAGAATACTTTGTTGTATTAAACTGGAATTCCATGATGCTCACCTTCCTGACACAGTCGCTGAAGACAAAGCAAGTACAGGAGCAAATGTGGTGAAGAAATCTAATGATGCCTGGCTATCAAAAGATATAGTGTCTGGGGTCTTAAAGGCTTGAAGGTAAACAAGCAGCAATCTAGCTCAGAAGCAACAAAGCCCACATGGAAAAGAAGCCCACCAGCCTGTGTGATCATGAGGTATCGAAGGCGTCAGGTATCAGGCATCAAAGAACAAAAAATCATATCATTCTGGATTAGGGAGAGTGCAGATTGGGGACCCAAAGCCCATCTATATGCAACTGGGCACCCCCTTATGGAAGGGTTGCAGGGAGGGGACAAATCAGTCAGTGTGAAGTGTAGCAATGATGAAACATACAATTTTCCTTTTTTCCCTAAATGCTCCCCCCACCATCATGATCCCAATTCTACCTTACAAATCTGGCTAGACCAGAGGATACACTGGTACAGATAGAAACTAGAAACACATGGA